CATTTAGCTAGTCTTTTAATACTTTTGACTTTTAGCTAGCCTTTCAAAACGTATAGCTTGTGTTTATACTTTACCAACTTTAGCTTTTAGCTAGTGTTTTGATGCTTTCAGCTAGTATTTTGTCAATTTTGAGCTTTTAGCCAGAATGTTGCTACTTCTAGCTAAATGTTTTTTGACACATTTAGCTAGTCTTTTAAAACTTTTGACTTTTAGCTAGCCTTTCAAAACGTATAACTTGTGTTTACTCTTTACCAANAAGATCATCTTTAGATGTAGTTGAAGATCATCTTTAGATGTAGTTGAAGATCATCTTTAGATGTAGTTTAAGATCATCTTTAGATGTATTTTAAGATCATCTTTAGATGTAGTTTAAGATAACCTTTAGATGTAGTTTAAGATCATCTTTAGATGTAGTTGAAGATAATCTTTAAATGTAGTTTAAGATCATCTTTAGATGTAGTTGAAGATAATCTTTAAATATAGTTTAAGATAATCTCTAGATGTAGTTTAAGACAATTTTTAGATGTAGTTTATGATAACCTTTAGATGTAGTTTAAGACAATTTTTAGATGTAGTTTAAGATAACCTTTTGATTTAGTTTAAGACAATTTTTAGATGTAGTTTAAGATCATCTCTAGATGTAGTTTAATATAACCTTTAGATGTAGTTGAAGATAATCTTTAAATGTAGTTGAAGATAATCTTTAAATGTAGTTTAAGATAATCTCTAGATTTAGTTTAATATAACCTTTAGATGTAGTTTAAGATAATCTTTAGATGTAGTTTAAGATCATCTTTAGATGTAGTTTAAGATCATCTTTAAATGTAGTTTAAGATCATCTATAGATGTAGTTTAAGNTTTAGATGTAGTTTATGATAACCTTTTGATGTAGTTTAAGACAATTTTTAGATGTAGTTTAAGATAACCTTTTGATGTAGTTTAAGATAACCTTTTGATGTAGTTTAAGATAACCTTTTGATGTAGTTTAAGATCATCTTTAGATGTAGTTTAAGATAACCTTTTGATGTAGTTTAATCTTTATATGTAGTTTAAGATACTCTTTAGATGTTGTTAAACAACATCTAAAGAGTATCTTAAACAACATTTTGATGTAGTTTAGAATAATCTTTTGATATAGTTTAAGAAAACCCTTTGATGTAGTTTAAAATGCCCCTTTTGATGTACTTTAGGATAACCTTTTGCTGTAGTTTAGACTAAGGAGGACATGAGTCTGATAAATTTCGGGCTCTTGCCTGATATTTGGGTGCGTTGTTGCATTGTGGGAAGTTTCCGTTGACCTCTCCGTTGTGAAGCAGGTTGTTGTCGACCAGGTTCCAGCCCCAGCTCTGGTCGTCGCTGCCCAGCAGGGCCACGTAGCCCTGGCACTGCATGGATGCCCTCTTGGTGGCGATGCCTATCACCGCCACCGTGCCCAGAGGCCCCTCCCACCAGATCTCCCAGGCGTGCCGCCCCTCCGTGAAGCCGATCTTGCCGCGCGCTCCGTCCGTGCTCTGGGCGATGGGGTTGCGGTGCAGGGTGAAGCCATTCTTCTTCACATAAACGTTACGGGAGCAGTCGTGGGAGCTCAGGGCGTGTTGGTAAGCTTTGATCTGCAGAAAAAAAAAAAAAAACAAGTTATTGATCACTAAGTGGACTGATGTTAATTATTTAAAGCAAGAACCTCCATGCATTTAAATAAACCTTTCAGAGGCGCCTCTGGGTCTGGAGACGTCTTTGCTACTATTCTGTTACCTTTAAATAGCTCTTTACTAGCCTGTAGCTACTTCAGTATTTTAGCTATTATCATACCTTTAGCTTCTAGTTATCTTTTGTTGCTTTCAGCTAGATGTTTGCTAAATTAAACAACTAGCCTTTTGCTATCTTAGCTACCTTTTATTGTTTACA